TCCCCAGCCAGCATGCTGGCTGGGGATTTCTGGGAGTTGAAGTCCACATGTCTTAAAGTGGTCAAGGTTGAGAAACACTGCTCTAGATACCCCACCTCTCCTCCAATAGGGTGAGAAGGGGTGCAGATTAATCGTAGAGCCTCTATTTTGTGTACAGTAAATCCCAAATTTAATCCATGGGTTCTCCAGATATAGCTGGGAAAGATTACATACAATCTGAGAGTCCTAAGAACTGTTTGCAGGCTCAGCTAGATGGACTAGGGTCAGACTCAGTGTAAGGCAGCTTCTCATGTTCCTATTCTAGAACATGGGATGTTTTTCCTAACAAATCATGCATTATAAAAATTGTGCTTTTTTAGCACTCCTTGTAGGCAGAAAACTAGTATTATACAGGATAAGACTTGACATTCCATGGTAATTTTCTTGGTTAACAATGCCTCTTAAATTTTCTTGGGAAGAGGGGAAGAGTCTTTAAATACTCAGTTGGGAGTCCTTGCAGTTATCTGAGCTTGATGGTTTTCTTGCAAATGTTTTATTATCCGGCTAGGTAGCATCTTCAGTGCTAGAATGGGATGGGGTTTGCTTTCTCAGTTCCATATATATATACTCTGCACTGGATAATTCTAGAAAAATGTAACTGCTGGTTTCAGTGAATGCTATTAAAAAGCTCAGATAAACTTTGCAAATTGTATAACTGATAGGCCCGTCGTAAAAGCACATGCAGAAAATATATTCTGTGTTGATGACAATCTCAGCTCTGCTGCCACCTAGTGTTACAATTTTTCATTATTTTTCTTCAGACGATTCTACCATAAAGGAATGTTCTTTTCCCTTCTCCCGTTCTATGAAATAGGCCGACCGACATGTTTGGGTTGCAAAATAATTAACAAGTCTTTTCTAAACATTCAAGAGCATTTTTCCAATCATTTGCAATGCACTTCTCTTGTATGAGACACAGACATTTTGCTGGCTTAAATTATTAAGGTGTAACTTTTTAGGGGAGTGATGAGCAATTTTGATGGGTTTCATATTTTTGAGAGGCCTGCGGGAGGTACAGCAGGGGTCGCTTGAAATGATGAGACTGAAAATTTTCTCCCCATTTTTCCATTTTGTAAAGTTTTAGTTTACTTCTTTTGTAAATTGTTATTAAATATATTCAGCCTATCAGAACCT